TGAAGGCACTGTCGCTGTTGTCTGTCGCATTAGTGTTGATTGCCATTTCAATTGGCCGAACTAATCCATGGGACTAATAGGGTTTGCAAAATTCCGACGTTTTTTCAATCACGGGATCGGGATTTAATCCCGGGATGGATTTTTGATCCCGGGATCGAACCATTTTTGTAATATTGATGCGGGAGATGTTCAAACACATTTTTTCGAACCAATATGTGTCTTTCATTTTTGCCCAACATTTTCTACTTTAAGATCGGTCAAGTTTTCTTATAATGGACGAATCTCAGAATATGATAGTTCATATGATAGAGAATTTTATTCTCTACAAAATGGTCACAATTTCTTCAATCAGTTCGCAATGAATCACCCCTCAAAACGGTCCTTTTCTGATATACCATCGGTATAAATTTTGCTGTTTCAATAGCTCAATCACCTTTGACCTGCGATTGCGCATGCTCTTCGCTGACTCAGCAACTACGCTCAGACGCGTTTTTATGGCGAAGCGTGACGACGCCCACGCACCCATCAGAAAAGGCAATCGGCGAACAAGCATTTTGCCACAGACTCAAATTGTTCTCGCTGCTATTCACTATTAACGAAAACCTAATCCCTGAGAAGTGACTAGTCTAGAACTCTTTTCCACGGCCAAGAGCCAAACGAATGTGGCCTTCATCCAATTCAAGTTGTCAATATGAAGGAGGAACTCTTCAGACGTCGGGAATCCGCTGATAAGGCAAAATAAAATCGTGAATAAGTCAACTTTAAATCGATGAAAAGCAGTTAAAAACTGAAATATTTATCTTAAGAACAAATATGGAAACGCTGAATTTTTCAATCAGTACTCACCTTCACCTCAAACAAACCACTTATAACAACAATAAGCGAAACACGCAAGTTAGAAGAAACCAAATCACTCATAATTACAAGAAGCTTATCGCTGATATAATTCAGTGAAATGCATCAATTTTCAAGGTCAAACATCAATAAAATACGTTTCAGAAAAACGAAACTGAATCGCACAGATTCACAGTACTTCTGTTTGGCTCATAACCATTCTGGTTTGCGCAGCTAGGATCCTACCGTGGCGTACATATAATCATTGTTCACCGCAACTTTCATCAGAACATAGCAAACCACGACAAAATACTTCAACTGATCTTCCATGAAATTCAACAATCATAAAATATTATGAACAAAAAATTTTTTTAAAATGAAAAAAAAACAAGCGAAACGAAACCATTAAAACAAGACTATAGGCACTGACAAAGGAACAATTCCCCCTCCCCATTCACGCTGATAAAACTTCAGCAAAATATCCCACACTGAATCAACTTATAATATAATTTCAAATAGACATTTTTCAATGGCAAGATTTCGTTCAAAAATGATAAAAATAGAAACATTCGTGAACTTCAAAAAGAATAATCAGCATTACAACTAGAAAGTGCACTGTATCAGCCACAGAAAAAGAAGTAGAAAATTTTGATAGTTCAAAGAATGAGCATTATTGCAATGAACTAAGATCAAACATGCACCTACTCCCTAAGATACACGACTAGTGAACGTGAAACAGTTGCTGATTGAAGGTTTGTTGATGACAGTTACGTATTTTAGAATGGGAAACATCCTAAAATAGCTAATTGATGAAATAAAGCAATACGATATCAGATACCTACAGACTGAAAAAAAAACAAATCAAAATAATAGTTCTGTAAAAATCAAAATCAGCCAGTTTATAGTGATGGTGAATTAAGAATTTTCTTAGTATAATTAAACATAATTAAATAATAATTAAAGTAATAATTAAAGACAAATAAATAAACATATAAGCCAAATCATCGCCAAAACATTAAAACATTAGAAACGATTTAAGACAATTGTAAATGGCACTGATAAATCGAAGCAAATCAAATCAAATCCATCAGAATCAGTGAACACCAATATTTGCGAGTTTTGGTGGACCAGAAGTGGGGCCCAGGAATGCATTTCGAGCACTGATGAATGCCGTCTTAATGGCACGCAATCGTTCAACTCTAGTGACACAACGTGCAGTGTTCTGATGATCGAACGGCTCCTCGATGAAAATTTTGTACCGTTTTGTCTCTGCCGCCAATTCACTCCTAATAATTTGCTCTTTGATTTCATTTCTAGCAATACATTCACTACTTATAATATCCAGTAATCATTGTCATCTGTCATTACAGGATAATACAGTGGGCACATAAACTAAAATGTACAAAAAATGAATATTGAAGAAAAAGTAGAATCTGCTTGTTTGTAAGTAACCAACCTATCAAAAACACATCCTCTTGCAACCGAAATCGCTTTTGTATCAAAATCAAATTTCGAATAATAGTCAAAAAAGGCAATTAGTAGTTCACCAACTGAAGCATGATTCAATGGACGTTCTGAAAACGACACCATTAAAAACGCAAAAAGTGAAAAACTTATGAATGGAAAAAAATCTTATCGTCAGTGAAAGCTTACGAGGTAGTTGTGGCACATCACGGAATAACTCCAGTTGTTCTACGCCACGAGGTGCGTTAAAAATATCTGGATTAAGTTCTTGGAGATTCGGTAAGACGGGAGGCATTGTGCAACACTGCAGAAAATGCAAAACCATCAAAATCAGCGAATAACTGAAAAATAATGCTCTCAAAATGTTTACTGATAGAGTTCACTAGCAAAACAGTGGTTTGGTGTTACTCTCAGCTCCAGCCTTCTACTCATAACATTTGAATCGAATTTCGATAATTTATCTTCCTCTTAAATAAATCGAATCAGTAAGCTGAATTAGACACCATACCCTTTTAGAGATGACTGTTACACCTCTCTGCAAACTTGCCTCAATGGATACAAAAATCCTCAAACACATTCTAATAGCTAGCTAATATAACTGTTCAAACATCATATAAGTCGAATTAGAACGCATCGGATCGGAACGATTTTTTTGAGAATATCAAGCTAAAAGCACCATGTTAACGACAATAGCAGCAAAATCATTAAAAGGCAGAACGAGCCTGTTTAACGTCCCAGACATTGCATCATTTATGTTGGCTATTATTGCCCAATGCTTCACAACCAAACACAACGCTGGGAAACAATCGTCGATTCTACAATCGAATTTCATTTAACCAGATCGAACAAGATTCTCTATTCATTCGTTTTTTCAGTAAACGCTCAAAGAAATCAATGACATAAGTATGCATCTCGATCGATGAACCAGAACCGCAATCGAGATTTCAGAAGACTAACGATTTTTTGAGAATCAAATGAAAACAAATGGTAATGTGGAACGAGAGAAAAATGACAGCAAAGATGACAACACAGAGGCGAATATCCAAAGTGAGCAGTCACAAAACTGCTGAAGTTTCTGTCAAATTTCACTTTCAAATACCACTTCCTTATCAGCATTTTCCAAAGAACGACACCAGTCAAAATCAAGCGACAAATCCTTCCAATTCAACCGCGAGCAATCGACAATTAAAGGGAAACAAAAATGAAAACAACAAAACTCAACTCACCTTGAATAATAATGTAACAAGTGTGAATTATAAATCCCAGCGACATTGTTACAATTGATGTCGATTTCCAACTCTGAATACGGTCCGCCCATTTCCAATTTCAAGATCGGTACCTTAAATATTTAACGAGAATCACAAGATGATGATGATGCAATAAATCCCATCACAACTGAAACATTTCCTGTTTAGAGAAGAACAACCTCTAGACCAAAACTGAAAAACGAACCTTTGCTGGTATACATGCACACTTTTGTACGAGTCCTTTCGAAGCATACGCTAATACCCTGTGTATTTTCGACAGTGCTTTAACTGCATACCTGCAATAGATCAAAGTAATTACTGAAAGGTTTTAGGAATGAGTGAACTAAACAGGGAAACCATGACTGTAAGACTTATCGAACTAATATGGATAAAGAAACACTTTTAAATAGTGCTGCAACATTGTTGAATCGAGAATCAGATCGACATGAAATTTCGCTCGGATGCCGTCACTAACACACATATGTATATGAGCGAGGAATTTTGAAAATTGCATCTGTGCTATGAAATTAACGGAAAGATGGTAAGGTATAGCATACTGTCTGTCGGTGTCGTAACCAAGAGCTGGATGCGGCAAACACAAACATAAGTCCATATCCGAATTGTATGCCCCACATCCGTTCACTGTTGAGCCTACAGCGAACATATTCGCTCCAGGATATACCTAAATTCATTGGAAACGAACAATATTATTACTTCAAAATAAACTATTAACATATAACAGTACATCAAGTTTTAATTTACAATTCGTCAATTTGTTACACTTTCAAAGCTATGAATAGCATTACAAATATTCCAAACTTATAGCAACAGAAGAAGTGAAATTCGAAGGCCATACAGAAATCAGTTATAAACGAAAATGAAAGTAAAAAATAATGAAACTAAGCCTCATACTTTTCTGATCAAACGCAGCAAATGTTCTCGAACTTCCATTTTCCATGAAAACGTATAATCATTCTGAAATGTAAATTAGAAAATATTCCTTACCAGAAAAAATATTCCACCAAATTCTTCACCTTTTACGTATATAAAATAGTAATTTGGCAATTGGCGCCAATTCGATTCAGTGTATTTTTCGGTCAAAGCAGCAAATGCGATCTCAAAAAGATTAACAATTGCTCATCCAGCCTTCTCGCTGCATACTACTCATGAAAGTATTTGAGATACCGAAGACGAATGAAACCCTGACTGTAAATCCATACGAACCTGCGCATTACTCGAATAATGAGTCCATATGTGCTGTTCAAATTCACTGAATTCAGCAGCAAATTTTTGCACTTTCTCTTGTATTAGATTCATAACGTGCATTGATGATGGAAGATGAGTGATACCTAAATTTATCAGATAACTACTCAGGTACAAATGATATGTCGATCACCATCACTCCCGCATAGAACAGCACATTGGTAAAGCACGAAACACAACAGCGGTGCACATACGCATACATTTACGCACCAGCGAATAAGAGATTAAACACTAATGGAAATTTCGAAATGAAAAAAGAATGAAATGAAATCGAAAATTATCGACTAACCTAGAGCGTCACATAATTCCTTCACCGATCTGTTCTTTACAACAGTGGTTGATGTGTTTACTGTTGCCGAAGGGCCTTCCTGCACTATCTTTAAACCACAATTACCATTATTGGTGCTGACATTGTCATTACTATTGATATTACTAGTGCTAATCTTGTCATTATGCGCTGCTCTACCACGAACTGTGGCTGAACTTTCCAAATGTCTAACTTACAATTAATGTTTTCAAAGTTGAACAACACGAGTTCCTATCACGGTGATCGTGTTAGTGCCCGAAAATCAGCAACAATTTTTCACGAAGTTGGAATTTACCGTCATCTTGACACTCTCGAAATAATTACTCATTAGTCACAAAAAAAAACAATCAAACACCAACACGAATACTAAAAGAACAACATACAGATTGCCCACTGAACTGCTTGCTCTTTTTCTTCATATATTTCGACAACTGACGAACTCTATTCACAAATCTCTGACCGATGTGCATATTGGTTGTCAAACCATCATCAATGATCATAACCTCTGGCTCATCCCGTAGAGACGTCGATGCATCTTGATTATTCGAGCCATACTCTGGCTGTATATACTTTGAATCTGCAACGCTATGCTTTCATCAGTCTGCACTTACTTTGAATTACAGCGATGACACCATCCATTAGAGTACACAAATGATTTCAGCTTGATCGTAATGGTATTATTAATTATCAGCGATCGTTGCATAGGTAGAATACATGCAAAAAAGAGACCTGTTATTTTACAGGTTAACGCTGATTCCACTTCGCTGCCGTTGTTTTCATTGCCATCAGCTGGTTGTTTTTCGGATTTGGTAATGCTGGATACAGTTGTTGGTGAAATAATAGTTGTTTTTTGATCACTGTTCACCTGAATTTATTCAATACATTTACTTGTTTTGAACAGCACGAAATGAACGAAAGCAGCAAAATAAAAGCAAACTAATTTGAAGAAAGTCGTGGAGAACAGGTTAAAAACAAACCTCAGCGATAAATACACAGTCCTGGTCACTATTACTGTTATTATTATTATTGTTATTTGCGATATTGTTCTTATTATTGAAACTTCTGTTTCTCTTTTTCCGTTTTTTCCTCCTTTTCTTCATTTCATTACCATTACTGATGCTATTATTAGCAATATTGTTATTACTAGTATCATTAACAAAACCATCACTGGCATAAACATTCTGATGGGTATCTTTTTGCTGATCTTCATTATCATTGCCGTCATTATTAGTACTGCTCCAAAGTTTCATAATCATGACTGATGCATCTTCAGCGTTTTTGTGTTGAGATCGATTGGCGTTCCCTTGAACATGTCTCTTTAGTGTGGGTTGATATTGTTGTTCTTTTATTTCATTTTTGTCATCTTCATCGAACACATTTAATATTTTCAACCGCTCACATCCAGACGACGATAATTGTGAGTTTTCTCTAACATCACTTCCTGTATTAGGCCTTTTTGGAACATCATCCACTTCCACGGCACCAGTTGCCTTGCGCTTCCTTAAATTTGGTAAGCAATTTTAGTTCTCTCACTCTCGGATATTCAATTATCACAACCGGCCAGAGAAGATCACGAGGCACCCATACAAATAACAATAACAGCTTTATAGATCTTCTGAGGATCCGAAAAAAAGAAGACACTTTTTAAAAATAAAATCACAGAGATCTGAATCCCCGCATTCGCATGGTTCTGCAGATCTGGAAAGAACACTTCGAAACAATGAATAATTCAACCAAGCTGAGCGTACCGTGTTTCATTGCCGGCATATAATGCCTTGTGAGCTAAGGTTTCATAACTGCTCCAACTGTATACTGGATATATTTTGATACCTAACAAATATCTGGTGAACGATCATTCAACTCATATTTGAACTTAGTGAAACCATACTTCTGAACGTGTTTATAGATTTGTTTTCAAATATGTTCAAATGTCGCGATAATAATCATTCTTACTGCACGATCTAACCTTTAGTGATGATGTGAATAAAATACTGAAAGATTAAAACTTACAAATTCGTACCAGCCTCTTTATCACCATTCTTCTCTGACAGTTCATTCAATACATCCATTCTACTGCCGGTCGTGTTCCTTTATTGATGACGAACCAGCAGACTGAAATCAAGAAGAAAAATGAAAGAAGAGATTTCGAATCATCCCAAAGTGTGAGATTAACGACTGGGTGTGAAAGGAATTTAGTGAAATCGAATACTGAGCATTCGAACCGACAATTACAAATTGATCCTAGTACTTGTTTCTCTTCCCTTGATTCTCTACATCATTCTTCGACAAACACGCACAACTACAGGCCATCAAACCTTTTTTTTCTCACTGCTAGGACCAACTTTAA